GCAACCAAAACCGGCGCACGAAAGTGCATGGTTAATGGTTGTAAAACTGAAACTGAAACTCCGAGCTGTGGTCCGAAAGACTCCGCGACTGATGGGTCGGAGACATTGGAGGATATGGCAGGGAACAGCAGTGGCGTACTTGTTGTCATTTCTTATCAGGCCAGAATGCTTGAAACGATTGTGTGCTGTGTCAACCACAGAGGTTTAGCTTCTTCCCCTCTGTCAAAGAGGGGAACAATCCCCGTCCACCTTAATTTTTACCACTAACCTAGTATGCATTGCGAGTTTGGCAACGATCAGTGAAGTTTACTTCATTGTATTTCGCTGTACGATGATCACGATGATGCTGAAAATTATGTGCACGTAACGTATATATTCGACACCGGTATGAGAAAAAACATGATTCCGATGCAACAATAGTGATAAAAATGTTGGATTTCATTATAAGGCAGGAGTGTTGTTTCGTCCCAGCCGCATCCTCACTTTCACTTTACACAAGCTTCACCTAACACTGGAACATTGCAGTTAGACGGGTTGGATGTTTATCTATTTTCTATCTCTTGATCGGGTTCAAAGAAAAGCCATGGGCTTCAACCCATTTTAGCAATCGCTAGCTTAAATAGAGAACTCGTCTTCTTATTCTGACTATTTTGGTAGTGCTTTGTATTTTTAAGCCCAGATTGCTTTTCTGTCTTAGTTCAAATAGTTCGTTCTGGTTGGTCTCGTGCACAAGCTGCCATCCACCCATTCCAAAGACTTTTTTTTATTACACACCTAGGTGTGTGAACAGCAGACGAGGTAAACCCCATAGTCACGAGGACCTGCTGTTCAGTGGTTGAAATCGGCAACCTAAGCCCTGGAACTTGGAGTGGCGAACCGCATAAGGCCTCGGTAGGCTAGGCGTGGTATTGAACCGGACGACAGCAGAGCTGCCTACCACCAAAGTCGGGTGGCGGTGGCGGGGCTCGAACCTCGAACCACAGGGTCCAAAGCACGCCGGTGACAGCGACTAAACCACTGCGCCACCACCACTAATTCTATGTATCGCACTTCTTCCTTCAGTCAACTTATTCCAAGAACATCAGGACTGTGGAACATTACTCTTGCTTGTCACCTTCCTACCTAGTTACAAAATTCTTGAAAAGCAGAGGCAAAAAGTCGATAACAACTTGACTGTTACCCCAGCTCTTCGATGTAAATCTCTGGATAACGGTGTTCACTTGTTTAAATATATTCATTTATGACATCCAACCTCTCAAAGTGACCGCAAGATACAACTGAAAAAACTGAAAGCCAATTATCAAAACATCATTCAACGCCTCTTACCACCCAAGCTACTTTTATGAATGCAGATATTCCTCTCATGCTTACACTTCTCCGGCAGAAGTAACTAATGGACAAACTTTAAATAAGACCTAAGTTTACTGAATATAAGGATCCACAGGTGAACTCTAAAACTGCAGTTGAGAGCACTGAAATAAAAGTCATTCACATTTGCACTCAAGACTAAGTACAGCTGAAAAACCCTGGATGCTCTTTTTGTTCAAATAAAGGTAAAGTGAGAAGTAACGGCCTGAATTGAGAACGAGATTTTGCTTAAAAATCGCCATTAACATGTGAAAATTCAGCTCCCTATCGTCCGGAGCCAGTATCCTAATGAGGTCGTTGAACTGTTTTGAATAATTCCGACTGCATATTTACCGAGAAAGACAATACGGAAGATAACTGGTTCCACGAGCGACTTCGTCAGATAAACGTATTACAACGCAAACAACGGGATGACTTGGCCGCCCAATAATAAAATACAATTATTACTGGTGTTCATTTAATCTCAGATGTCCTTCAGTTTGATAATGACCACAAGCATATTCGCAATGAACGTCGTTGAACCGCCGTGAGAAACGCCAGTGGCTGGTTCTCAAAGCGTTGTTTATGGAGATTCTTACAGCTTTAAGACTAACGCTTCCAATGCCTATTCTATGTTTCACTGAAATTAAACTCAAATATCTAGGAAGCCGAATAAGACCATCATAATGGACATGGTGCATGGCTTAATAAGTACCTTGTTTGTTAGATGGTCTGATATTGGAGGGAATGGCTCCTCTAGGAGCGGGAGTTGATTTTTGCTGTGCCTTGGCAGAACCTTGAATTCGTTCACCGCCCCTTGCCGCTAAGGCATCGTAGGGATGTCCATCATAGTTGGCATCGAAAAACCTCTTAAACCATTGAACAAATTCGAAATTGTCTTGAAACTTTCCTTTCACCAGTTTTTCGATGGGAACCTCCTGTAATACAAAATGTGATGAAAAAGGATCAAAGAATTACCTTATCAACACCGTGCTTTTTAAACAGCGCTTGGAGCACTTTGAAATTACTTATATACTCGTGCTCTAGTTTAGTATTAAACTTCACCTTCCGGAAGACCAATGTGCCTGAAGAAATGACAACAAATATTTTTTATTACCTGGGAACAGCATATCTGTTAATTGGCAGTAGGCCGCACCTGGAACGCTAAGTTTACCAACGAGGCGGGAAGTACTTACCGGTGCATAACTCCTCAATTTTACCGTAATTAGCGTCTAAACAGTTGTTAATCCACTGCAGAAATTCATTTCTGCTGAGGTTATCTGTCATCTGACTGGTACTGTGTACGTTCACTGCCTGGATAGCCATCGTTGGGGAAACACTGTAGTCGGGAAGCTGGAGCGGGCGCGAGCGAAAATACTAGCACACTTTGACCTTGAACTACTTTATTGCAGTTCAGGACAGGACACGATAGGTCAGGTCAGGTTGCACAGGACTGATAGTGGCCACAGGTCAATCACGCGTCCAGAATTCCTTCGGTGGTATGCCCTCGAGTGTGCGTCCACCTCTGCGGTTGATCGGTTTCTCCTATCTGCAAACAGAGAGAAAGAGAGGTCAGGTCAGGTCAGGTTGCACAAGACGGTAAATGCTTTTGCCTATCGAGTGTGCAGATTCTTGCTCCAGTCGGAAACACGTCTTCCGAAGCTTCGACTTCTTGTCGACCGTTTGACCACAGCCAATTGCTTCGTTTCGAACTATCTCCCTTCGCGCGTCCCTACCTGCAAAGGGAGGTTATTTGAAAAAGGGCAGCATAGACACCTGCTGTCAATAGCAGGTACCCTACATGATCTCTGGATACAGGCTCGTCCAGACCCCATCTAGCTGCCTTTTGAACTCGTCGACTGTCCTACAGTCTATTAGTGAAGTTGGTAGCTGATTCCCCTCATCTATCACTCTACTCGTGAAGAAGTTATACCTAAGGTTAAGTCGGCTCCTGGGCTTCATTAACTTCAAATGATGCCCCCTGGTTGACTCGAGCGGTGCTCGGGTAAACAGGCTTTCGGCTTCTAGCCCAGTCAGTCCCTTCATTATTTTGAAGGTTTCAATCATGTCGCCTCTCAGGCATCTCCTCTCCATGGAGAAAAGCCCTAAGGATTCTAACCTCTCCCTATATGACTTACCCCACATTCCTGCGATCATTCTAGTAGCTAACCGTTGCATCCTCTCGAGGCAATTTATATCCTTCTTGGAGTAGGGAGACGAAGCCTGCACGCCTTGAGCTGGAACAATTGCCTCCTCGCTTTTCGTGCGGCGGCCAGGCATTGATCACTGGGCTTAAAGTCCTCTCGGACCAAAATTCCTAGATCCAGCATTCGGTTTACTAGAGCGAAGACCGTCGGTTCCGTGGTCATAGCCACTCGAACCGGAAGCCCCACGGTATTTAGAACGTGATTCACGGGGATTCACGGGGATTGACGGGCTTGGGAACCGAAGTTTTCGAGTAGCCCG